TGGAGAAGTCAAGAGAGTGTAGCTCGTAGTCTCTCTGCGCTGCTATGTGTAGTAACACCTAAAGAGTGGTCATCTTCGGGGTGGGCACGAAGGTCTGAAAGAAGTCAACTCCCTCACGCTGACTGAACCCTCTAGCCACGTAGCGTGCCTTGAAGACTGGGGGAGATCCCGGCGGCCGCTTCACCTTGAAGATCCACATTCCGTCAACTATGTTCGCCCCTTGGGGGGGAACCTCGTCAACGTAAGTGCCTGTGGACCTGTAGCCATTGCTGCGTCCATGGCAGCTCTCCACTGAGAGGCCCAAGGCCCTGACACTGCCTCAGCGTAAGTGCGAGGAGTAGGTATGTCAGGAGCGTCGAGGTCTCCCTCAGGAGCGAGGAGCATGGCACAGAGATGAGGCGAAGCAGCTGCCAGGAACTCTAGCTCAAACTGTCTGTCCTCTAGGACGTCACAGCCAAAGGCAGACTCACCCCCGGCGGACAGAGGACGGACAGGAGGAGCGGCCACAACACGAGTGGCGTAGTCAAGGCGACCGTGGCAGTAAAGTCAGTGACAGCGGCAGTGAGGACCGTGACGGAGGAAGGAGAGGCACGAGAGTCAGTAACAAGAGAGGCGAGAACACGAGAGAGAGTAGGGCGGTACGTGCGGTAGTAGTCAGTAACCGGAGTGGACAGGGAGGCAGTGAGAGATGACTCAGGAGGACGAGGAAGAACAGACGGAGGAGGACGAGGAGGACTAGGACGAAACAACACGGTACGGAGGTCAGTGACAGGTGACGAAGGACGAGCACGAGGGGGACGAGAGGTCCAAGTGTGGGCGAGAGGAGAGGGAGACGGAGGAGACTGAGAACAAGGGAACACAGCCGGAGCTGAGTCCGGAGGAGGAAACGTAGGACCGAACACAGGAGGAGAGGAGGGGAGACCAAGGGCCCGAAGGCCAGAAACAGGGGCCGGAGGCTGCTCCGGCTGCTGCGGCTGCGGCTGCTGCTGCTGCTGCTGCTGCTCCTGCTGCAACTCCAACCTCTCACGCTCCACCCGCTGCTGAACCTCCGACCTCTCACGCTCCAAAAGCTGCTGCTCCTCACGCTCTAGACGAAGAAGGGCCTGGTAACGAGTCGGGTAGGGGTGAGGAGGAGGAGTGGTGTCAGGAGACGCAGCAGAAGAACCGGCTCCGTCCTCGACAGTACCCGGCTGAGCACCCCCAGAGCGAGTACCTCCCGCGGCAGCACGACCAGTACCTGTAGGAGGTGTACCCGCACCCCCAGTCGTGGTGCCTCTAGTGGCACCAGCACCAGCCCCAGACTCTCCAGCTCAAGAAACACCACCAGCTCCAGCACCACCACCAGCTCTAGTACCCTCGGAACGGGCAACTGCGGCAGGTGCACGCTCAGCGCCAACGCCAACACCCCCAGAACTGGCTGCTCCTATAGGTGCACGAACAGCTCCAACGCCAGCACCCCCAGAGCGAGCACCGCCCGAGCCCTCACCTCGAGCACCATCACCCTCAGAGGCCGCAGTGGCCGGTAAAGGAAGCGCTGACGGCTGCTGCGGAGGCGGTGAGGACGACTGCGGGGAAGGAGGAGAGACCTGGAGGGGGTACCAAGGGGGGGGGAGTAGCGTGGGACACACCAGATGGAGCGGGAACAGGGGGGGGTACCGGAGGAGTAGGGGCGGGAGGAGGAGGAGCTGGAGCCAGGAAGAGGGGAGGGGGGGGAACCGGGAGACCTCGACAGGGGTACCGGACGTAGTAGGGGACGGACTCGTCGAAGCGGACGTCACGAGAGTCAAAGAACCGGTGGGAGGGAGGGTGGTAAAAGGTGAAGTCAGAGGAGCCCTCTGGGAAACCAAGGAAGACACAGGGGACAGCGCGAGGCGAGATCTTGTCCGCAGAGGTGTCACGGACAAGAGCCAAGCAGCCCCAGACACTAAACCTCGACGCAACACCAGGGGACCCTGTCCAAAGATTGGTCGGTGAAGCCCCTGGCCGAGAGACGCGAGGCCAGAGGTTCAGCTGGTGAGCGGCGTACCGAGCCGCGTAGGGCCACAGAAAATGGGGCGCGCGGGCGTGGATCATGGAGGTGCGGGCGATCTCCATGACCAGGCCTAAGCGGCGCTCAGCAACCCCATTCTGCTGTGGAAAGTCTGGAAGAGTCCAGGACTGGGTGATGCCCTGCTCAGCACAGAATCTGCCGAGAATGCCGGAGCGAAACTCACCCCCACGGTCGGAGTGAAGACAATTGACACGACGACCGTGAGTGCCCTCGGTGGCGAGGAGCCACCTGATCAGCGTAGAAGTCACGTTGGACTTCTTCGCCAAAGGGAACACGGTGGTGTACCGAGAGTAGTTGTCAACGACCACCAGAAAGAAACTCTCACGCGCAGGGCCAAGGCGGGGAGCGGGGCCCCAGACGTCTAAGTGGAGAGTCTCGAAGGGCTCGGTGGCCGGACGAAGGGAGGAGGAGTGAGGGGTGGCGCGCAGCCGACCCTGGACACAAGGACCACACGGAGGAGCTGGGGACGACGGGAGTGGCGGGAGGACTCGGGGGAGGCCAAAAACAAGACGCTGATTGGACATAGCGCGGAGACGAGGGAGGGAAGGGTGACCAAGGCAGTGGTGCCAGAGGAGGGAGGGGTGGGCAAGCGACCGACACGAGCACGACGCAGCAACTACACCTGACACAGCAACCTGACTGGACCCGGCTACCTGGTGGGACGGGGGTCGGTGCGGAGGGTGTACAGACCAGAGCCCGGCTCTTGGCGAAAAGTGGCCAAGGGGGCGTACGTGTCACCGTCCACACAGACCGCGGTGTCACCAGAAGGCTCAACCCAGATCCCGACGTGCTGTCTCGCCAGGGTGCCCACACCAACCAGGTTCCTAGAGAACGTAGGAACGTGGAGGCCAGTCAGGGAACCGGAAGGAGCAGCTGGGCACGGGAGTGTAGTGGCGTGAGTCGCAATGACCGGTCCCGAGGAGGGATCGGCCAGTGCTACAGGGACAGGCGCCGGTAGCGGAGAGAGAGTCGTGCAGTCGCGGAAGAAGCAGTGTGACGCTCCGGAGTCCAGTGTGAAGGAGAGAGAGGCGTCCGCCGAGGGAGTACCTGTACTAGTAGCTAAACAAGATCCTACACTAGCACCTACTCTAGCAACAGGCAAAGATCCTAAGCTAGGTACAGACAAGTACACAGATCCAGGAGCACTATAGTCAACATCAGCATACATGGCATATGACCTAGCATCATTCATAGTCATATCAAAAACAGCAATACCACGAGCAAGAAGTGTCCCCCAGCGTGGCGGTGGGGGAGCGGAGGGGCCGTGGTGCAAGCGGTAGAGGTCGTCGAGACGACTGAAGCAGCGTGCAGCAGAGTGGTCGGGCCGGCCACAGTACGAGTCCCGACGAGGAACCGTAAGGATCCAGTACTCACAGGGACCAACGTCGCGGCCGGCCGAGCGAGGTCCCCGACTGGAGGGGGCGCCACTGCGCCCAGTGCTCGGGGGACCCACAGACCTCCACTGCTGCTGAGGGCCCCACTGCTGCGGAGGGCCCCACTGCTGAGGCTACTGCTGTGGCAGGCGCTGCTGATGGCCCTGTCGCTGCTGCTGCTGTCCCTGCCGCTGCTGCTGTCCAGGCGGCGGCAGCTGCTGAGGAGTCGGCTGCTGCTGCTGCTGGGACCCCTCACCACCAGTGAAAACTCCACCGTCGAAAGGAGGGCCGTCAGGTCCCGAGCCACCCCCACCACCACTCCCACCACCTGGTCCACCGCCACCGCCACTACCCGCACCACCTCCAATACCCCCGCCGCCCTTCCCACCCCTCTTACCAGCCTTGCCACGTTTCTGCCCGCCAGAGACAGAAACAGCCACCGTCTCCTCAGAGGCAGAAGACGTGGGGGTGGCAAGTGAGGCAGAGAAGGTGGGAAGCTGTGGTACACACACCCCTCAAAAAGACGAGGAGGAGGCGCGGAAGAGGCAGAGGCAACAGTGAGGAGGTTACTCTCGATCTTCGAGAGAGCAGTCTCAAGAAGATCGATGGTAAGCTCAGTGGGGTGCTTCTGAAGAAGCGCGTCGCGGGCTGTGGCTAGGCGGTCAGGGAGGCAAGTGACTAGCCAGTGAATAGTGAGCCACATAGGGGGTGGGGCAAGGGCAAGCTGGTCCTTAGTGCAAGCAGCGCGAAAGCGAGCATCAAGGGAGCGCATGTGAGTAGCGAGGTCAGAGACAGTCTCAAAGGAGGCGAGGTCAGGGTGGATAAAGGGTACGAGGAGGCGACTGAGCGAAGCAGAGGAGGGAGTGGAGTAGCGAGTAACAATAGCCTTATACAGATCTGCAGCAGACTCGACCTGAGCGAAGTGGACTGCCTCTGTCGGCGGGAGAAGGTCGGTCAGGGCGAGGCAGGCAGCAGCGTCACAAGACTCCCACACGTCGCGAGCGAGGAGCTGGCGCTGGTAGTCGGCCTCCTACTCAGAAGTAGGCGGTGGGGTAGTGGGCAGCGGCTGAGGCTGCGGAGGGGCGGTCTGAGTGCCAGACGCGTGTGCGAACAGGTGCACGCCATCCTGCCGCTGGCTCTTAAGGTGGCGCTGCGCATGCGTAAGCCACGTACTAAAGTCAATCGGTCTCCCTTCAGGGTCAAATCGAAGTACTCGGGAGGTCGCCATAGGGGGCGAAACTAAGAGAGCGCGGCTGCCAGCCGCGGGAGGGGGAGACAGTCAGTGGCGTGTGGGCAAGCGCGCAGGCGTGCAGTGTCACGAGACGAACTTAGCTAGGAACGGGTTTAACTAAGGGCCTAGGCTTAGTAGCCTAGGCCAAGCGGGTGTCGAGGGAGTTGTGCCAAGAGAGAATCGAGAATGTGTGTCTTCACTATAGGTTTGCAAGAACATATAGCAAAGAAACAAAGAGGTGCACCACCACAACAAAGAAACATAACTACACTAAAGCTAAAGCTACAGGCAGTTATAAACATATATAAATATATATCGCGACATGCAGGTGGGCAGGCGGCGCGGCATGCGGACAGGCGGGCGGCGCGGCGCGCTGGCTGGCGGGCGGTGCGGCGTGCTGGCTGGCGGGCGGCGCGGCGCGCTGGCTGGCGGGTGGCGCGGCGCTCTGGCTGGCGGGCGGGCGGCGCGGTGCGCTGGCGTGGCGCGCTGGCATGCGCGCTGGCGAGCGCGCTTGCGTGATGCGCTGGCGGGCGCGCTGGCTGACGCGCTGGCGGGCGCGCTGGCGTGCGCACTGGCGGGGCGCGCTGGCGTGCGCGCTGGCGTGCGTGCTGGCGTGAGCGCTGGCGTGCGTGCTGGCGTGACGCGCTGGCGGGCGTGCTGGCATGCGCGCTGGCGGGGCTCGCTGGCGTGCGCGCTGGCGTGCGCGCTGGCGGGGCGCGCTGGCGGGGCGCGCTGGCGTGCGCGCTGGCGGGTCTGCTGGCTAGGGTGCTGGCGGGCCTGATGGCTAGGGCGCTGGCGGGCCTGCTGGCTAGGGCGCTGGCGGGCCTGCTGGCTAAGGCGCTGGCGGGCCAGCTGGCTAGGGCGCTGGCGGGCCTGCTGGCTAAGGCGCTAGCGGGCCTGCTGGCTAGGGCGCTGGCGGGCCTACTGGCTAGCGTGCTTAGGCCAGACGGGGGGGGGGGGGTTTCACGCCAAGGCTAGTGACGGCCGAAGTCTAGGAACGGCGGAGACTAAGTGTGGCCTAGGAACGGCGAACCTACTGCTGATACCATCTCAGAAACTAAACACAACGAAATGAGTTGGATTGATTGGGTTGGGGTACAAATGCCTAACCTTAACTGTTTGTACCCCATATAGCATGACCCACTAGAGGCTATAACATTTGACAGGGTCTTATATTGATCACACCCCAAAAGGGGGGTACAACGAAATCGAGGTTTTATGAAAGACCCCCCCCGTATTAGGTACCCGGGGATGTTGTATTTTGGGGGGGTCTTCTATCCGGGGAAATACGGTAGTACCGCAATAGCTCATATAGAGCATGCGGAAGATCGAGAGTCACCTGGAGGTCAACAGTCGAAAACAGTCAATGGTCGTGTCTCTTGACCGTCCAGTAACCGCACTTGGTACCGTCATCGCCCGGATATAAGACAGTGTCGAATTGAAGACATGGGGTGTCGTTAAAACGGGTGTATCTTATTGATTGGTGTTCCTAATTATAAGGCACCTGTCGGTGTGTACGAGTTAAGCCAGTATAGAGGTTAGGGGCAATCTTATGACGAGGGGGTATCTTCTAAACGGTTTTTTGTCCATCTATAAGAACTATAAGACACCCTAAACCGTCCCAATTACAAGACATAGCAAGTTTTTTTTCTAATGTATAAGATAAGACATATATGTCTTCTATCCGGGCGATGACGGGTAGTTACGCGATGCAACTGTCGAGAAGAGCAATAGTCGTGGTTTTTGTAGCTATGTACCCCTCAGAGTCTATGGCTAGCTAGTTTGTTATTTATACCCTTGTACTTCTATCTTATTATTGTCTTGTTCTCTTTCAATTATAATCAACAAGGTCACTACTAAGACTTCATTGTTTTCTCTTTAACTTAGCGACTTGTCCTATCCACATCGATTTTTGGGTTATATCAGCATGGTATGAGAGCTAGAGTGGATCATAAGGCCTGCCAAGTTCTTGTTCTTCCTAGAACAAACCCTTTATAAAATTACTCATTACACTACAAATCTGCATCACTATGGCTCCTGAAGGAAAAGCCACTACAGACTCTCCGGGCCCACCAGCAGCAACGACTAATGCACCATCAGCGGTGCCTCCGTCAGCGCCGCTGTCGTCGAGCAGTTGGTCGCTCGCATCAACGCTCTAGAGAGCCATCAAGCTATGAGCATCGATGGCTCAAGCTACGCAAGAGGAGTTGCTGGACTCCCTCTCCCTGGAGAAGACCGTCGCGTCAACTTCGAGAGGTCTTTCACCTTTGACAACCGTCAAACTTCAGAGCTGAAGACTTCAATTCCATTCGACGGCAAAGATTTCTACACGTGGAGCTTCAAATTTGAGCTTCTCGCAACCACCGCTCAAATCTGGATGTACTACGACGAAACTTGACCCTTTCCTTCGGAAGGAACCATCCAGGAGAAGCATCAGAATTACCACGAATCTCCTCTCACGTACACCGCTCTCATCCGAAACCTCTCCCCCACCGATCAGCTCGGCATTCGCTCCTACAAAACGGAGTACGCTCCTGCGCAACTGTCTTGGAAACACCTGCGCAATTCATACATGGCAACAGATCCAGTTACCATGAGCCGACTACTCAGTCAACTGACATCAATCAAAATGCAGCAAGGGGCGAAAGCGGGACCGTATATCAACCGGTGCCGCAATCTGCGCGACCACATAAAGAAGTGCGGCAGAACCGTCCCTGACGACATGTTCGTCTCGATGGTTCTCTCCGGCCTTGGACCCGATTGGCGCCAGTGCCAGTCGTTGCTCCGCGCTCGAGCAACTATTTCCGAGTCCGCCCTTTGCGCCACTCTTCTCTCCAAGCAAAAGGAGTTCGATCTGTACAATGAGAAAAACAGCAAGCAGGAGAAGTTAGTATTCTTCACTGGAGCGGCTGAAGGGGGACAGCATGGAAAGAAGGAAGCATTCTGCAAGTATTGCAAGAAACCCGACCACACTATCGACCGGTGCTACAAGCGAAAGGCAGCTGACGAGAGGCGCAACAACTCCTCCAGTCAGCAGCCCCCGGCACCCTCAACATCTGCTGCTGCAACAGCAACCGTGTCACCGCCTTCCGTTACGAGCACCTCACAAACTCCTGCAGGCATTTCGTCCAAGGACAAGGGCAAGGGATCGATTATTACCTGCATGGCACGACGTCGCAGAGGCATCTGATATTACGACAACATCGAATACCCGACAATCACGCCCATCAATCCCATCATGCCAAGTGCGGACAATGACCCCACACTCCACAGCTGGATCGATCGTCCAACCAACATCCCACCTGACTCTGAGTTGCCTCCAAGCACATCGGAGTCCCCTCCCAGTCTTCTCGCGAGAAGATACATCGATCCCCCGCCGTACACCGGGGACTTCGACCGCATCATCACTCCGAAGATCGCTGGGATTGCACGACGGAACCGCGAAAACTACAACACCTGGTATCTCGATAGCTGCTGCGGACAACAATGGTGGGGTCACCGAAGTTCATTAGCAACTCAAAGCACATGCGGCGACCATGCGAAATTACCGTTGCCAATAACAACCGCCTCAAGGCTTATGACATCGGAGTGATTTACCTTGAGGCCGAAGATACTCACTTCACTATCCACATCGGAGACGTACTGGTCGTTCCCGATCTGCAGTACAACCTGCTCTCTTCGGCGCAGCTCATGAGGTGCGGAGTCGACATTCGCAGCAACTGCAAAGACAAGGCCTTCGAGCTGTTTTACAAAAACACTTAAATCGGCAAGGCTGTCATTGACGACGGAGTCACTTCACTATCCACATCGGAGACGTACTGGTCGTTCTCGATCTGCAGTACAACCTCCTCTCTTCGGCGCAGCTCATGAGGTGCGGAGTCGACATTCGCAACAGCTGCAAAGACAAGGCCTTCGAGCTATTCTACAAAAACACTTACATCGACAAGGTTGTCGTCGACGACGGAGTCTTTGTCTTGAACTTCTGCGCCCAAGGCACCACTGGCGACTCTGAGCGAACAATTCTGCTGAAAACAACTCCCACGGAGCCGCTGACCTGGTCGCACCCCGGGGAGATGGACCTTGATCAGCCTGCTCCAGATGGTCTTCTGCGACTACGCGCCATTCCAACCGCCTCAACCTCCAATCCAGGTAACACTGGACCTCCAACAGTGGTAGAAGAAGAGGACAGTGGCAAGTCAGCACCTGCAGAACCTGATACCGGCGGACGTGAAACAAATCCAGCACCAGAAACCGACTGGGGAAATTCCAGCCCCACAGTCGGCCCGTGGGGGGTAGTTCAAATGCCCGAAGAAGCAGCGGCGGAAGGCCGGGGCGCTGTTCAGACACCAGAAGAAGGAACCGCTGAGGCGATACAGGAGGCGCCAACACGTCCAAAGGAGGATGGGGCTGGGGTCAGCCAAATCCCGCTTATCCCGAAGCTCCAGCACTTCCACCTGGGGACGTCGCGACAGTCGACCCGTACTGGGCAATACGTGGTACCAGCTAGGGTGGACCTCCTCTTCCAAACCAGTATGCCCCTGACACGCCAGAACACGTACAAGAGGAGTCAGAGGAAATGGCTTACGAGTTCGGAGGAACTACTCGAACCTACCGAGGAAGTGCCGCCGCCGGAACAAGGACCTCAGTTAATCTCGGTCACCGGCGATGAGTACCTCTACCATCGCGACCCAATGGAAGGCCTTCTCGCCTCTGAATGGCCCGAAGCAACATTCTTTCTGCAACCGCTCGTCATGGGCGACGCAGTCCACTCCGCAGATACAGACGACATCGCCAAAATTCCGAAAGAGGTCATGGAGCACCTCTCCGCTCGTGCCTTCGTAGCCGATGTGGACAACGCCGTTGACAAGGGACCTGAGGGAGGGCAGTAGGACGAAGCCGAAAGACACAAATATTATCATAAAACAGTCGGGTACCGAGCAGATCCAGAAACATGGCATCATCATCACACGTCACGCTCAAGAACTCCCTCAAGGCCTGAGTCTTTGACGAAGACACGCTACTCCTTCCTCGAGGAGGCTCCCTCATAGCAGACTAGGCCGACTCGCTGTGCATCGTCTGCCCCACCGCGTCGCTCGCCCACAAACCCTTCCCCGACTTACCTCCTGGCTACAAACGCTACTAGCCACTTGTGTGAAATAACAAGGAATGAATGAACTAAGAAACAGTTGGATACAAATGTGAAACCCTAGAAACCTGTACCCCTTAGAGTCTACCCCACTACAGCCTACATAGGTTAAGTCATATATATCTGACACACCCCCATAGGCAAAGTGGGGGAGAACTAGGGGTCACAAGACCAGTCAAGCAAAGCAAAGCAAGCTTAGGGTGGATCACAACGTCACCACACAGTCCGAGCACAGGTTCAAGGCCACAAGGCCAGTTCACATGCAAAAATATATATAACGGTGAACAAACAAGCACAGGTATATATAGATCACAGTACAAGCAAGGTCAAGAAGTGAGCAAGTGAGGCCAAGTAGGCACAAGACCTAGCATCGTACAAAAGCGCTGATGATCACAAGGCTGAAGTGCCTTGGTAAAGATATCAGCAGTGTTGGCCCGAGAGGCCACGTAAGCAAGGCGCAGCTGACCACGCTGCTGCAGCTCACGAGCAAGGAAGAAGCGAAGAGCAATGTGCTTCATTCTGTGCTCCAGTCTGTGCTCCCGACACAAGGCCAGCATGGCCTTGTTGTCTACGTACAGAACTAAAGGAGAACGAGGCGGCTCTCCCAGGTCAGTCAGCAGGTAGGTGAGCCAGCGTAACTCCTGTGCAGCCATGGCCCCTGCGTAAATCTCAGCCTCACAGCTGGAGCCGAGAACAGAAGATGAGCGGGTAGACCGCCACGAAACAGAGCCGGAACCAAGGCTGAAGGTGTAACCCTGTGACGACCGCTGCGTAGCCTGGTCGTCAGCCCAAGAAGCGCCTGCGTGACCAGTGAGGACCACTGAACTCCGCC